ATGAAAAAAAACAACAAAAAACTGTTGATCTGTTTTGATGGTCCTGTTGAACATTTAACAACCTGTAAGATTATTACTGAGGTTTGACCAAATCTTTGCATTTATTTTTAAAGGTTAAAATATCTAGGGCCCATAAAATAAGAGTTATTAAATGGATGTCAATTACAGTAAATACACTCATTGGTTTGAGATATTTTTTAATATCAATAATATATATTGTGGTAATGAAAAACTGCCCCATTTTCTGACAAAATGTCTCAAAAGAATTTATTACCTTTAGTGGCAATGACTACTAAATCTGGATTTAGTAACAATGGTTTTGAATTCAGGATTTTTTTTTTTGCATTAATACATAATGCAGCAGTATTACACTGCCTTACAGTGTTAATTAGAAAGCAGTGTAAATTAAATCAAATTTTAAATATATTAATATATGTAATTGCAGTATACTTTCAGCTAAAGTCACTAAGCTTGCTGTACAAAGTGGTTAGGTTGACAAACAGATATGCAAATTAGACGTAACTCTCCAAGCATGCTAAATAGATTGGTTTTCTGTCTGAGGATGTATGGGAAAAAAATAAGGGTCAATATCTGTAAGACAAGAGATATTTGAGATTTAATCAGGAATTTATTGCTTCTAATTTTGCTGAAATACATGGCATGTGTTTTGTAAAAACATTGAAAATAGTAATTAGTGTCAAATTACAATGAATCAATTTGCATGTTACCTAAAAGAAGAACACAAAAATTAGAAATTTCCAAATAAATTATAAATTAAAACATGCACCTAAAAAATTCAGTGACCGATTTCCGGGACAGTCCCAGTTTTGGAAAACCCGTCCTTCTTCAGCTTTAATTGTCTTGCTACATCATTCCAAATTTCATCTGTGAATTGAGCAATTGGGTCAAGTTACTCTATTAAATCGGTTGGTATAATGTTCTCTCCCACGAGTGACTGAATACTATATCCAGGTGTTGGGTTCAAAAATGTAGGTTTGTAAAAGAAGAACTGAAATACACAGTAAGGGATTTTCAAACAGCTTCCTGCAGGAGGAGAGACAGAGCTGCACCCAAGACTCAAACACTCTATCTCCACCGGACCTCCTCTGCAGAGCGCTTTATTAACAGAACATAACACATGGTTACAAACAGAGCATTGTTCTGACAGGACAGTTGATCAGGTCATAAGACAGGATGCTCCAC